TAAGTCATTAGTTTATTCCACTCCCGTTGAAAATGTTGATGACCTGAGGAATCGAATTATAGTCGGCTGTGAGACAATGAGAAATATACCAGGACTATTTGCGCGAATACGACAATCAATGAGGCGAAGAGTTGAATCTTGTGTCACGTCTGAGGGAGGTCATTTTGAACATTTGTTGTAGCTTTGCGCCTTTTCAAAATTTTATTAGTGTTATTTTCTGTTATTGTTCTGGTTTAATGTTATTGTATTAGATAGTTCTTGATAATGTATTAAAGAAATAAAAAATACGCGTTAAGATGTTTTATTTTTTTGCATCAAAACGGCGCCCCATACGAAGAAAAGGCAAGAGAGATTTTTTGTAACAAATTTTTAATTTGTAATATCTCAGTGGCATACCATTTTTTTCTTTTAAAAAATTGAGATTATTATCCAAACGCGCGCCAATGATGAACATAAAATTCTTAATTGCGTGTCAAAAAATACGAATAACTACCTCTTAAAACCCATCAAATTTCATTTGCACATCTCGACCGGTTTCAGAGCAATAAATTAAATCGTCAGTTTTTAAGAAAAACTTTGACACCCCGTATCTCGGAAAACGAATCATTTGCGGACATACGTTTATAAGCTAACTGCCATTATGTTCTCATGTAGAACCACCCCCTGAAATTTGTCGCACTTATTTACTAACACCCTGTATATGGTCAACACGTGTATTTTTTTGTTAAAAAAACATCAATATTTTCAGAATATTTTTTTATGAAAATCAATAAAAAAAACAGCAAAAAAACAGCGGTGGTTGTCAGATAGCGAAGATCAACCACGTCAATTGCGCGTTACTTATCGTGATGTCATATCGCAGCTCACAGCAAGGCATTCTCGGACATTAACACCCCCCCCCCCATTGTGAGCAATAGGGATGTTATCCAAAGCCCCCCCTCCCCTATTTGGGCTTCACGTGATTAACGGATGACCCTTAAGTGAGTGTAGTCTTCTAAAAAATTAATAACAAATAATTCTGTCGGTACAAAGGCAGCAAGTGACTTACGCAAAGGCATTACTGGCGTCACATCTAACAACTTTATACCCACAATCGGCTCCCAAGTCTATTGATTCTGCGACAAGTCTGTATCCTAGGCCCCTTTTGCGATGGAGTTTGTGCACGAACAGCATACTCATCTGAAATAACAAATCTGCGTATAACTAAAGTGTTTCACCAAACTTCAAAGAGGAATTATACGTTATAAATGAATATAATATAAATGTCCCTGCAAATATGTGTCCGAAAACACATTTTTTTCGAGACACAGGGTGCTCAGAATAAGCGAAAAGCCTTGATTTATGTCAGGTAGCAAAAACAATTAACGGACAACTTGATGATATAATACGTTTACCAGTGGTTACCCCGCAAATAAAGTTCCGTGCCAGAGACGAGTAGGTACATAGATTTTTTAATGCTGAATCCGAATCTGCAGCCCAAAACCAATTTACGAGGACCTTGTGTGGGCACACATGCTGCAAGTGACCCATTTTTAAGTACAACGCAATCCTGACGCCATCCGGGACGCAACAGGGTTCCAAAAAAAGGTCGACGGCAGAGTGACGCCAAGGACCAGGTACTTCTGCGAGCGATTCCACGCCAAGACGACTCTCCAGCAAACGCTCGTACCGACAACACGTCCTTTTTTTCACAAGCTTAGATTTCAAAAAAATACTTTATTTTTACCGTTCAGAGAGCTATTTATTTTTGCTATAGTACAGCGAAAGCAACCCTCAATTGTTTAGTGAAATAATGAGGATAAAGTGAAGCTTTATAAAGAAAAACAATAATTTGTAAATACTTTGAGAAAACATTTTAAATAGTTATTTACACCATAATGGAGGTAAGTATTATTTACTAGTTTAATAGTCGCCCGAGCGGAGCGAGAGCTGTCAATAGAGTCCGAGACTGGTAAATTATACTTAACTGCTGCGTGGTGTATAACATTTTATCTGCTTCCACAGCTCTTCGCGGTTCATGAAATAAAGATTAGGTTTTATTTTTTGACATTTCTTAAACAAATATACTGGTGTTTCTGAAATTTCATGGAGAAGTCAAGAACTTTAAAGTCGCCGGCGAGTTTGTGGAGTGAATACTCAATGATTAAGTCAACTATTTTCATAGAGAAGAACGTGGATATATCAAAATACCCCAAGCTGAGGGCATTTTTGTAATGTAAAATGTAAATGTAAAGATTAACGGCTATACACCTAAAAAGTCAAACGTTTTTACAAGAGAACAAGTCAACGATTTTGTCGTTCAGGCACCCGATAAGACATATTTGCTAATGAAGGTAGTGACGGTCTTAAGCATGTCGTTCGATTACTTATGCAAACTTACTTTGGATGTCAATTTCAAAAATTTCGATGGCATTATTGTAGTTACAATTTCAGATTTCAAAAATAGTATGCCCCGTACGTTTACAATTACTTCTCGTTTGGGTTCTTTTTGTCTCCTAGAAATTCTCAAGAAATATATCAAGATTAGATTGGAAATTAAAACTGAAATTTCACGTTTTTTTATGCGCCACCAAGCAGGTAGATGTTAAAACCAACCAGTCGGCAAGAATACCCTTTCTGTGATTTCTAATAAGATCGCACAGATTTTGAAACTACAACATCCTGAAACATATACAGGCCATTCATTCCGAAGAACATCGGCAACGTTACTGACTAATACAGGAATTGATGTATTAGCTAGCAATCAAGAAAGTTATGTTGCTGACAGTTTAAGTAACAAAAATAAAATAGCCAACAGGATTCTTTACAATGACACTTCAACACTTCTACTAGTACGTGGCATCATGCTGTTTTAATGGATCAGTCAGATAATATTGAGCCCCCGGCGACCGAAATGAAGCGGTCAAATAATTTTGAGGAAAATGTGACAAAAATGTGTCCCTAAATGTAATAACTACAATTACTATAAATATTCATTCATAATAATTAATAAAACGTAATGTTCATCAAATATTTCTATTTATTTGTTCATAAAATATGTATTTATAACTCGAAATAAGTTATTTCTCTAGGGAGGCAAGTTACTTCACTTACCTCCCGTTGTCCATAGCAACTTCCTCTTCTATGGTAAAATCCACTTACCTTATTAAAAACAATGTATTAATAGTCTAGTGGGAGCAGATAAATAATATTTTGAGTGTTGGAATAGTATATTCTCTAACAAGGTTAGAATGAAAAAATCCGATACGAGTGGAAGATTCCGAACACGACCGAAAAGTATGAATCAAAAACAATTAAATTAAATCTAAACAAAATAAGTTATTTATTGAGACATTTGTATTACTCTATTAATATTTATATTTATAGTGTTGGTACAATTACTGAAATTAAAAACCGGTTCACTGGAAATATTTTCTGTAATATTTTTCAAAACTGATTGATTTGTAGAGGCAGACTTAACAGTCGTGTAGCAGGAAGAATTGGAGGTTCAGGTGACGGTTACTACGAATTAGATCCAGTAATTGAAGAAACTAATTGATTTGCTACATTTATTCGATTTTACAGAGAATTTTCTATGTATCCTTCTGCTACTTGAGAAGACTTCCATCCTCCACGACTTTTTAATGTTGTAATATCCGCACCTGCATTTACCAACGTTGTCGCTGAGGTACGGCGGAAACAGTGGCCAGTATACTCTTGTGGGTTGTCTAGACTCGGGAATGTGGCAATTTGTTTAGGCATATTGCCCAGTTTATTTACCCCAATTACTTGTCGTATACAGAGTGTCCCAAAGTTCGCTTCTCGGGCCCATAATAGACAAATAAAAAACGACAGTAAAAACAGTTTAGATGGCGTGAATCAGGACTCGCTAAGGTCCGTTTTGCACTTGATTTTTTTTTAAATCGGAAAATAAAAAAAATATATTTTTTTCCATGAACATACCAATTTTTTATGATAACTAAAATTAATTATTTCTTATGCACATTTTTTGTGCAATAATTTTTTCTCTATCTCTTCTCCTTAAAAAATTACAATAACAAACATTATACAAACATGTATTCTATTGTATTGGAATTAGTCATGATCTAATCAACAAATAATCAACATTTCTGTTAAAATAATGGCTGAGACTGCTATCATAAGTCCGTTTACATATTAGTTTCTGTCAAACTCTATATTTTGCATGATAAACAAATTAGTAAGTGGTTGTTAAAAATTAAAAAATGTTTACAAACAATGAGCAAGTTGACATGATTTTAATTTATGGTGAATGTCAAACAAATGCCAGAAGAGCTGCTAACTTATATCATGAGAAATATCCAGAGCGTCAAGCTGTTAACCCAAAAATATTTGCCAGATTAGAACGAATTTTGCGTGCTAATGAAAATGCATTTTCATTAAGAAAGGGGAAAGGCATTTCAAAATCAGTGTGTAACGATATTACTATAGCTAGAGGGTATTACAATATTTTGAGGAAAATCCTATAAATTCTATACGACAGGCCACTTTTGCAATAAGTTTAAATGACTATAGGCTAAATAACTTGGAGCACTTAACTGATAAACAATAAAAAAAAAATAAAACTTAATTATGTTTTAGTTTCAAATAATGGTTAATTTGGAGATAAATAATAGACTCTTACAACACATTCTTTGGACCGATGAGAGTCGTTTTGTAAGTAATGGCAAGCCAAATAAAAGAAACGAACATTACCGGGCCACTGAAAATCTCATTCAAAATAAGGGCCATTATGGAATAAATGTTTGGTGTGGCATGATTGGAATACATTTAATTGGCCCATACTTTTATGAAAACTTATTGAACGCTAATAGCTACTTACAGTTTTTGCAAGAGGAGCTTCCAGCACTGCTTGAACATGTGCCGCTGCAGCTCAGGTTGAATATGTGGCAACACAATGGTGCTCCTCCACATAAAGCTAAAAGATTTATAGACTATTTAAAAAATACTTTCGGAACTAAGTGGATCGGGATTAATGGGCCTGTACAATGGGCTTCAAAGTCTCCAGACTTAACGCATCTAGACTATTTTTTTTTAAAGCAAAAGATTCGACTTATTTGTGAGAATCTTCCAATAGAAACGTTGTTTAAAGCTACAAGGGAAGTTAGGAAAAGGTTGGATAAATGCTTAAATGTAAGAGGCATGCATATGGAAAATTTTTTAAAGTAATAATCATAATCTTATATTTTGTTTTTTGTTTTGTTATTAGTTATTGTTATATTTATTAGTTACAATTAAAATTGTTTAATATTTTTCATATTTGGTTATCCTATTTAGCGGTCATTATGTGTATTGTTCTATTTATCTTCGTGGAGTGATCTGTTTTAAGAACAGAGCAAGTGATATGTAAACAAATTTGTGACAGGAGTTACAGCGATTGTTTTTCACAGTAAAGTTGATTAAGTCCTGAGTAGTTCCAGTATAATAGAATGTATTTTTGTATAATATTTGTTTAAACTTTTTAAAGAGAAGAGATAGAGAAAAAATTTCTACACAAAAATTGCTCATAAAAAATAGATAATTTTAGTTATCTTAAAAAATGGGTATGTTCGTGGAAAATAAAGTTGATGATGACATTCTTCTATTTTCCGAATTTTGAAAAAAATGTTTTTCAAATGCAAAAGAGACCTTAACGAATTATTGCTATGCCTGAAATAGTTTTTGCTGAAAATTTAAATAAAAATGCCTGGGGATCGTTTAAATTATACTAATGAGGATTATTTTAATTTTTTTGTTATTTATGGAAAATGTGACACAGTAATTTCAAGAACATGTAAAGAATCCGCTGCTTTTTTCCATAAATAACAAACAAATTAAAATAATCCTCATTAGTATAATTTAAATGATCCCCGGGCATTTTTATTTAAATTTTCGGCAAAAACTATTCAGACACAACAATAATTTGACAAGAAATGTCAAGTTGTTTCAATTGTTTTTGGAGTATTTCTGGTGATGGCCAATTTGACAACAGGTCTTATACGAGAAAAACTGTTCAAAAAATAGAGAATTGCAAATATCTCTAAAAGTAGTAACGCCAACCCTAACAATGCTTATATGGCTCGAAAGAAAATTTCAATCTGCATATGACAGATTAAAAAAATACAGGGTGTTCCATTTATGTTAACAAAGTTATAGCAGTTTGAAGTTATCAAACAGCTATA